AGAGAGAGAGAGAGAGAGAGAGAGAGAATGTGTGACAGTAAAATCCTACGAAAAGGAATATTTTATAGATTTCATTGATTCAACAAAATAGTTCCAGTCGGTGGACTTTTGACAGTCTTATCAGACCACTCGAGCGGATCGGACGCGTTCCCTCTCGTCTCGGATGTTGCATCACCTCGATAATATTTTTGGAAAGCCTTGCCAGCTTTGAGACTGAGCCGTTATATCTCACTTTTACGGTCCCCTTATCCGTCTTGGCGCGCGACCGTGCGGCGTGGAAACGTCGTAGCCGCAGGCGTCCAGTGTTTGAGGGGGGCATTTCACCATTTTCATTTCGATTACATCATTTTTCGTATTATTCGCCCGGTTCGAGGTGGCCGGTCCATTTAAAAGAAAAACATACAGACGTGATCTGGCCGTATCGACCTCCTTTTATTATCTGGAGGCGGGAGCCATTAAGTAAAGAAGAAGAAGGTGGACTTTTGAATTTGTGCGCATTCTTTTCTCTTCCAGAGTGTTTTATTATATTTTCAAACTTTCCCTTTCTCTCACTTTCAAACAGATTTTTGAATCAATCGCGGGTCACGCAGCGCAACGGTGTGAAATTATCGGCGCGTCCTCTCAATCGAAAATCGAATATACGTTCAGTCGATCGAAAATACCGGACGCAAAGTGGTTATGTTGCGTGCGTTTTATATGCGTTTAGTCGGACCTACATAGCACGCAGAATGCAGGTCGCAGGTAGCAAATGAAACGCATATCAGATTACTATCCCGCAGGCCTAAGTGAAGTTCATGCAACTTTCTGCATCTTGCGTTTTGCGTCTCGCATATAACTTAAGTTGGTTAGGTTAGTTTCTATAGTCTTGCGACTTGCGGCTCTCGTTCTGCGTAGATCGGGTTTTTCGCGTGCTTCTTATCCATTCGACAGTGCAGTGTGTACGCGATAAGAATCTGGAGTGCCGTGAATTAATTAACGTTGCGTTAATTAGCGTGGTGAATATCCAGAGCAGTGGAGCAGTCGACGGATGGACAATGACAACGGATCACCTCCACCTCCGGTAAGTCGATTCGTTTGTTGATTACATTTACATAAATACTCATTGTCTTTTGAAGTAGAATCTTAATTATATGCGAATGTTACATTTAATCGAACGGTGATGCAAATATGCGACAGTTTTGTCAAGTGAACTTCGTACGATCGTAGCACATCTCGCTACGTCGCGCTAAAAGATAATATTCGTGCAAAAAAATATTAGGTGTCCATGAAATATTAAGGAAAACGGGGATAAATGTTTGTTAAAATAAATATCCACAAAAATGCGCGATAAAAATAGAAGTAAAAACGTAAACTATTTATCTTGTAATTCACATACTTCTTTGCACTTCAGTCTCTTTTTTTCTCGAATAGGCTACGTTGTCTAAGCAAAACGTAAAGTCATTATAACGTCATTAAAATAGCGTCAAAATGTTTTTAAAATTATTATTAAAAGTCACTTTAATCATTAACGAGTCATTTTGGCCTCAAAATAACTTTATAATGGCTTGTTGTTTTGCTTGGGATATAAGCTTGTTTTATTTCCAATAAATAAGCACGTATGACTCAAATGAATCGCGAACTTCGTTGTTTTTGAGAAAGGAACGATGACGTATGTAAAATTTAATATCCAGTATATCCTACTTATATTTTTATTAAAAAACTTATACTTATTTATAAACCTAAGCAGTCATGTTTAAATTGATGAGCATGTGAGATAAGCGATCCTCCCTTCAACATGATTACTTCTATCTTCCTTGACGTTTAATAATTCCGGCGCTACGACTTTCAGAACAGCGTTCACGTTCTCGCAGCAATTACTACAGACAATTGTTTGTCCACGTACTGAAAGGTCCTTTCCCAGAAGCTTGATGTTCTGCAAGACGATCGATTTTATGTTAATTACAACGAGTTGCAGCAAGAGTACACCGTAAAAATAAAATACGCAATCGTGAGAATAAACACGTATAAAATTAGAGCTGAACAAAATCGCATGGTACAAAATCTGAATCGATGTATACTAGCATCAACGAGGGAGATTCTTTAAAAATTTAACAACGCCTTATAAACGCCCTTTAAACACTGTGTTCGTACAAACGATTTTTCGAATAAGTAGATTATTCACACACACACATCAGTAAATTTATCAATTCTCTCATCAAAATTTTTCAAGATTTAAATGTATTTAAAAATAATTAATATTAAATGTATAAAATCCGCAAACTTCATAATCCTTTTAAATGGCTTTATAAGTCCTCTATACTTCTGTAACTGATTATTGAGTGTTAAAGAACTGATCAATGTATAATTTTGCGATATTATTTTCTATAAAAAATTAAATTTTTTAAATAATCTCAGAAAAACTAACGTAATTTTTTAGTTAAACTGCTTTTACACACACACACACATATATATATAT